CCCCCCCCCCCCACCCCCACCCCCACCCCCTTTGTCAAAACATCCACTTGTCAGAAAAATCAGTTCTGCTTAGGCTAAAGCTTACCCACTTCAAGTTTCTAGGGGTATTTTAAGGTCAGCAGACTGAAATAAATTCCTGAATGCCAGACATGTCAAACGTATTATTTGAAAATTCGGTATTTAGTGCTAATATCATAGAAATGGTAAATAAATCATCTTTAAGTAGATATTCATACTTTTCGAGGAAAGGCACAGTCTCCATTATGCTGCCTTGAAACAGCTATCATAATGGCCGCATTACTACTAGGTAGATAGAATTACCCTTCCATTTAGTCACCTAAGTTATCCACGAGTTCAACAACCGTAGGTCAGAGAGTAGTCGAAGCACTCACACAGTGGTTAACTGCGCTGGGTGGAAATCAACTTCCTTGGCAGGTCTCGGGGATTATTTTACACCAGGGAGTGTGGGATAGACTTACCTCCGCGTGGTGCACCTTGGGCAGTTGATTTCTAACTTCAAACTACCACGGCCCCACTGTATGTCATATTCGACCACTTTCACAGTACTCATCTTACCTTTTCACTGCCTTTGTGTCTATCTGACTCTTTCACATCTGTGAATTATTATTCTGTTCCCCCCTCCCTCTCCACTTTATCTCACTTTGATGTTCCCCCTCCCCTCTGTGAAGCCTGAAGTCAGCTAACGGACTAATGATAACTATTAAAACGCCTGTCATCTGATATAAAAATAAATAAATACATCATACACCATAACTTAAACTGCCATTAACGTTAATGGTAAATTCTAACAAGAGTTGAGCCTTTAGACAAATTTTCGAGGTTTGAATATACATGTCTTCACTCCATCTATTGACTTAACCATATACTTAAATTTGACTTGATTAAACTTGCAATTAAGTCATCTAAACAGTAGTTGTAGGGCATCACACAGACACATTCTAGAACCACTCTCTAATTTTGACTTCGTATCTTGAAATTTAAAAAAGCTGTGTTGGCCAATACTTCTGACTGTTCAAAAACGTTGGAAGCATATCGTGAAAATGCTGTGTTATTGCCTCTAAATAATTCGTAGTCAGATGGTAATTAAAAGAGACCCACTTTGACATTGCAAGTAGTTACTACGACTTAAGAGGCCTTAGTGGGGAATACGAGGAATACCCTTATCCCACAACTGTGAATCCTGTTGTTATTGTAAGCTTATCTTCATCTGGAAGTCACAAAAGATGAGATTTATTTAGTTATATCAAATGGCAAGATTTATGACAGTTATTATAGGCCTTTTAGTTGACTTCGGACTTCACAGAGGGGAGGAACATCAAATTCGCAAAAAAATGTTGAGAGAGGGGAACAGAAGAGTGATTCGCGGATGTCAGAGAGACAGATATAAAAGTAAAGATAAAGATAAGGTGAGTACTGTGAAAGGAGTCGAGTATGACAAACAGTGGGGCTATAGAAGTTTGAAGTCAGAAGTCAATTGTCGGTTAATAGACATTTTTGCCATTTGAGTATACGCTGCCCAGGGTGCTCCACATTGAGGTAAGTCTATCGCTCACACCTCAAAAGATAGGTTAACATCCCCTAAACAAATCTCCTGGCGTTTTAGTGAAAATTTTTCACAATTTAAAAAGGTATTCAGAGTATCTTACCATTTTTAAATATCTTTTTCAATAATAATTTATTGAAGAAAACGAAGAAAAATCAGTAATTCCGTCATGATTAAGTCTTTAATTTTTAATTCTTATAATTTAAAGGATTCGTTCTTGCTGATAAAAAAGACGTATAGATTTTGCATATTTTCAAAAATATTTTATGGGCAGTTCAAGGCAAAGTGTTTCAATTTCTAGCACCTTAGGGGTCAAGGTTCAAACAAAATCGAAAGAGAATTAGAAAAAAAATAGGAAGTAAAATATAAGGTGTCTTTTTCCCTTTTGTGTTTTAAAAGAAAACTGCACACTGAAATGCGTCCAATATTTTCTAGCTCCTAGTTATTTCAACAATGTAATAAGTGTTTTTTTTCTGATACTTAATTCCTTGATGTCATGAAAATCGGGTGATGATACAGTAAATATCTCGTCAGTGACTACTTGCAATAAAATTATCCACCACAAAAAGGATTGGCAGTAATTTCTGTATTCATCAGAAGTTTCACTCTCATCTCTCATGCGAGAGAACATTTGCACATGTCTTTTTTGTTCATATTTTTAAATGGATTTGACTGAAGGTAGAGTCGCTAATTCAACAACATCTTCCTTATATCTCTGAAGCCTGAAGTCAATTAAAGGGCTAATGATAACTATCATAAAGTCTGCCATTTGATATAAATAAATATCTATTTGCTATGACGTCATTTTTATGCAATTAATTGTTAATGTGTTACGGAGAAGATATTAGAGATCACGAGACCGAAAAGCCTGAGCGAATCAGAGACCATTTAACCAGGAGACAAGGCACGTCGTTGTTTAGACCTGCCTGCCGTCGTCGTGACAATCTGACAAAGTCGATTGTCAAGATCAGAAGTAGATGAAAAAATAGTCGATTGCATGTGAATAGGGAAGAGGTATTTTTAAATAATCAGATTAATGTGATTTACGTAACATACTCAATTGTCATATGCCCTCTGTCGGAATAGGCGTATTTCAGAATATGAATTTTATTCCCTAACACTTTTAAATCCCTATTCATAAATTCATAAAATGAAATTTTTTAAAATGATCATTTAATATCCAAATAATCTAATGAGTAGGATAAAAAATTGAAAAAAGCTGAATAGAAAATAAAATTATTTCTGAAAGGAATAAACCCTTCTTTTCTTCCCACAAAGTTTTAATTCACTAAATTAGGCCTTCAATTAAACTGAATATGCTCTCTAAACAAGAATAATTGAACAAAATGCCAATTATTTTCAATCACAGCATAAAATTTATCTTAATTATTAAATCGTTCGAACTGAATGTCAAATAAGCCAATCTGGGGAACTTCAGTAATATGGCAAATTCATCCAGAGGCCAATAATTCAGGGTTGAAGAGGGCGAGGGTACGTTATGACAAAACTCGCAGATATGGGCTTAAACCAATAGGCGTCATCACAAAGTTCCATTTGTCAGTGAGAAAAAGAGGGAAAGCGAATTTTATTTCATCTGACAGTTGTAGGTTTGCTTCCCAGCAAAACAATAGCATTATTGAATAAAGGGCTTGAAATTACATTTTTATTTAATGAAGAAATGGAGAAATCATTATTATTATCATTTCTTCTAGCAATATGGAAAACTTGACCCTTCCAAAGTTGTAAGAAGTGGAGATCTTCCTCCTTACTTCCCGTTGATTTCACCTGAATTGACTCATTTCTTATCGCTTGTACAATTTCACGCTTTGTCATGTATTATATAATAATAATAATAATAATAAATAATGAAAAGGCGAAAATAAAAAGAAATGAACTATAGATTTCAGTCCAAAATACCGCAAAAGAATGTCCTCGGGTATAATGAAGTTCTTTACACCATTAACGATAAAATCTGACGCAATTAATCAATTAATCAATACAATTACTAAGTCCTCTCAGTTGGGCAAAGCCGAAAGTTTGACACGGATGAAACAGTTCGGGAAAGAGACTTTTTCCAAAAAAACTTTGGGACTTAAGGTAAACAATTGTCATAGTACTGAAAGCGTACTCGAGAGGAGACTTTGGAACATGCGGACAGGAAGGTTTCTCATCTGTTTATATCAATCTCCAAATAAAATGATGTTTTATGGTTTGTTTATTCAAGTGGGTGCATTGTTTTACGTCAAGACTATGGAATAAGTGACACAAATCGAGCATAAAATGTGAAATGCATGGCTTCGTTTCAGCACCTGCAATCGATTGTCAAATTTTTAACTCTCACAAGGTGCAGGGTATATTTGCATCCATTCATAAATCAGCTTTTGACACCGAAAACACAGAATAACACCCACACAAACAACAATTAATTGTATCCAAGTTCGACTGTTTAATTTATCGGAATATACGTTGAACAGTTTGACAAATCAAATCAATTAAAATTGATTTCATTGGCTTCATTGGGGTTCTGCAAAATCACTTAGATGATATATTGAAAAAGGGGGTGTGCGATAGACTTGCCTCCACATGGTGCACCCTGGGCAATGTATACTCATACGGCAAAAAAGTCTATTAACTGGCAGTTGACTTCTCACTTCAAACTATCATCACCCCACTGTATGTCACATTCCACCACTTTCAAATCACTCTTCTGTTCCCACCCCCTCCTCTCGACTTTTCGTCACTTTGATGTTCCTCCTCTTCTTCGTGAAGCCTGAAAAATCCACTTTTGCCACACATATTTCTAAACATCACTCGCAATGGATCATCATCATCATTAAGAGCGTAGATAGTAAAATTCTAATTGAACGCCACTTTTACAATTCGTTTCAATGTGTATACCTTTTTTTGGACAGTATGTCAGTATGTCAGTTTATCCAAAATAAATTATTGAAATTTAATCTCATTTAGTGATTTCATTAACATTATCTCTATTTCGATGGAAAATTAGTGGGAAAAAACGAAAACTGATATCGTCACGCTTTCAACTAATCGATTTCCCAATTTTACCACCACTATTTTTCTGAGGTTAAGGAAAACCACGTGATGCGTACACTTGGGTCGAGTTCATATTTATTATTTTTATGATTGAACGCAATATATATATATATATAGATCTTTCGGTCTTCCATCAAATGTATTTCAATACTAAGCCCATTTAGAACGTATTATAATTATCTCAAAAACTGCTTCTGTTACGAAAGCAGGACCGATTTCTACAATTTTGATAGTCGTCATCGTCGTCGTCACCGTGTTGAATAGGTATTTTTAATATTCCCCCTTCATAAATAAGCACCTGGATGATATGAGAATTTTTGGCCTCTAACGCATTTAAAAACACCTTTTTAGTCACAATATTCTGCAAATACTTCCACCATATTCAAGTTCCTCTCATTATTTCTGGAACCTGAGTTAGTTGTTAGGCCTGGTACACAAAGCGGAACTTGCAAGTTTGGAGCCATAGCTGTCAGGACCAGAAAAGACTCAGTTTCTTCGTGAATGAAAAGGCTCTCCGCAGTGTATACCGGTTCGATTGTCCCGGGGAGGGGTGGAAGAGAATACCCTGAATTTGATCAATGCTTAACAATTGGAAGCCTTGAATTTACGAACAATTGCATGAAGGAGCACCTACGAAAGTGCGAAATATGCAAAGAGTGGTTGTTTGACCACCTCCTTCTTTACATTCCTAATGTACCCAACGGGAACGTTGCAGGAATTCGAGCAAACGGACTATTGTTTTTCACCATTTTTTACAGCGCTTGTCAAAACTCAATTAAATAGGCTAAATTAAATTAATTTTATCAATTTGTTGACTTTCTCCTTTACACGCTTGCTGATCCAACGAGAACTTAATATTATTACTATTATTATTATTATTATTTCAAATGGCAGGTTTTATGATATTTATCGTTAGGCCCTTAGTTGACTTCGGCTTTCACAAGGGGAGG